AAAGGGAAAATTACTCCCTTTTAGAATTACACAAATTTTTCATTTCTTCTTTTATAAGAAGAAATAAATAAGATTTAAAAAAAGTTCACATAATTACATTATTTACTTAAAATATTAGCCGTAATTTTGTATATTATATTATTATATTTAGCTTAGTTAAAGTTAATATATTACTATGTTCTCCCTTCGTTTTTTTTTTTTTTTTTTTTAAATTCTATTTAATTCCAATTATAATTATATTACCAATAAACTCGTATTATAACTTCAAATGAAATTACCTGTTTGAAAATGAAATAAGAAGCCATTAATGTCATATCACATAATGCAATTGCAATTAAAAAGGCATTGAAATGATTTCGTCGCATTGCTGGCCTTAGTAATACTACGACAATTGCAAGATTAGCAAATACACCGGTGATACAGAGGAAATGATAAAGGAATATGTGAATCGGTAAATAAGCATTTGCCAGTGGAATAAAAAACTGAAGAAATTTGAACTTTAGAAATGGAAAAATTTTAAAAAATTTTAAAAAAAAATTTTAAAAAAGGAAAAAAATTACTAAAAAATTTAAAAAAAAATTTTTTAAAAATTTTAAAAATTTTAAAAAGTTTATAAAGAAGAAAATTTTGTTATAAATTAAGGAAAGATATATTTTCAGTTAATTTTATCACTTCTTTATCAGAAACCATTAATAGAACGATTCTCTCCTTTCAAGTTTTATTTTTGTTTTTTTCATTTCATCATTTAATTTTTACACTTCACCTTAATGGAGCATTTATAAATTATTAGCATAAGCAAAAAAAAAGCACTTCCGGTTTCTATAATTAATTTAAAAATTGGGATCAAACATGATTTTATGTTTTATATATATATATATATATATATGCTGATGCTTCAAGCAATGATCGATTACGATAAATCCTTAGTAAGGAACTGTCTTGATTATTTTTCCTGGATGAAATCATTCATTTTCCACTAATTAATATTTTCCAGTAACTAATTAATGAGTTATTTGCTAATGAACCATTTAATTTAGCTCAATTTAAATGATTAACCAATGGTGCGTCAATTTTTAATGAATCTTTTAGAATCCTATCAAACTCTCGTCAACATTCAGACTAAATTGAATGGTCAACTTAAAACATCAACTTGCCTCGTCACTAAAATGTCAATAATTCAGATCATCCAACTTCATTTTTCCCTTTTATTTCTCACTTCAGCAATTTAAACAAATAGATTGCATTTTTTGTTTTTCTCGAATTATATAGCATAGATGTTGTTTACAAATTGTAAAAGGTCAAAAAACAATTCTAAAATTAGTAAACAAATAATACGTAATGGTAAACAATCAGTTGATAATTTATGCTTTACACTGCAATAGATTTCCGTTGAATTTCCCGTAAAATTTTTCGTTAATGTAAAGAATTATGTCATTTTTAAATCTTTTGAAAAAATTAATATCGAAATTTTTTATTAATTTTAATTACTCAATTTTGTATAATTAAACTTAGTTTATTAAATTTTTGTGACTTCGTGAAGATTTTTATATCGTTTTACGATTGTTTCGTCCAAGAATAGAAACAAACTCGAAAAAAGTTGGCTTTCTCCCTTGTCTCCTCTTCGGTGACATTTCGTCCCCATTTTTAGTCTAGACTTATTTCGCATTTTTATCACTCTATTCTTATTTACTTTTCTAATTTCAATCTATTAGACAATGAAATATACCGCAAGTGTCAACAACAATTAAAATCATGCATGTGACATGCTATGGACCAATTTTGAAGCGCAAATGCCTTGTCTTCCAAGATAAGTTAAAGTAAAGTAGACTGTAAAGATTTTAAACAAATCACCGAAAAAAAAACTCTAATACCTAATCATTTCAAACTGTAAAAATTGATGAGCATGACATTATCGAATAAATATTTCAGGTGACACTTTTGAGGTCACTTAATTGTGGAACTTAATTTTTTTTTTTGCCCAAGAATTGAATTAAATCTTTGTTAATAAGTATGAATTAAAAACAAATTTTGCTATCATATTTCTATTTCTATAGCTAACATTACTAAGCCTATCTTAGATTTTACAATTTAATAAATACTGTAAATATTCAAAATTTAATAAAATTTTCACTGACATATTTCTTAAAATTTACAAAATTTTTTGGAATGCAATAAATTTGCTAGAATTTTTAATAAATTTATTAAATCTCTATCGTTCATTTATACACTTTTTAATCCAAATAATTCCTTTTTTATGTTCAATGCAGGTTTATTCATATCAAATTTTTTTTGCGTGATAAAAAAAAAAGAAAAAGAAATGTTATGAACATGGAATTTTGCTTTTCAATTTTCGTAAACAGAAAAGGAAAATACTATTTATTCCTAGCTTTCTTAACTATTGAAATTTCATTAAATTCTCAAAATTTGTTTTTTTGCCAAATTTAACAAAATGCAATCAGTGAACTACACAAGGAAGTGTCATCTTTCAACAAATTTGCGAACAAAAATTTATCAAAATAACAAATGAAATTTTGGATTGGAAAAAAGGAGGAAAATCCAAATTTTTCTTTCTTTTTTTTTTTTTTAACTTTTACGATAACATTTACATCCATCATGTCGTAAATATTTTCTACATGCATAAGCTAAGGAATAAATCTAGGAAATGACACTTTAAAATGGAATGTATCGCAATTTGAATGTTTAAATGTTTTTTTTTTTTAAACTGACCATTTATTATTTAAACAAAGGGTCAAAAGTATTTAAATAACAAAAGAT